GTTGACCTAATTTTAAATGGCGTTTCAGTGAGTAGCGCTACGATGTCGCCGTTTGGCTTTCCGTACTCTCGAATATGTTGGCTTCGTATCCGTATTTACATTTTTGCGAAATTCTATCGCGTATTTTCACAAACCTCGCGCAAACCACCGGTATACACTAACTTCAACACCAAAAAACGTGCTTGAAATTTTCCATTTTCGGATAGGAAAAAAAAACTTAATTTAAAAAATAGAAATACGGATTTAAACTTCATGACCTTTGCTTCAAAACAGTGTAAAGTTTTTGGCCGCATGCATGACCGTAGAGCTGACATTTAAAAATGTATTCACGTTAGTTAATTATCAGCCGCGCCGATTTTCAGAATCACGTGACGCTAAAACAAACACAGTGTTCACAAAATATTAATAATAGAAAAGTACAAGTCAAGGGCTTTCCAAACATATATAGATTGTATAGGTTCTTGTAAAATTTACTCCGATTATAGATGTTTACATTTTCCATGCCAAAAAACTATCTCGCTACCTTAAATTTTGAAGAGATTCATCTACAAGTATAAGACCCGAGGTTACTGCGACGGTAAAACTCTGTTTTGCGGGATTTGATTTTTAATAGCACAGGAAATGATACATGCCGGCATACATCACTGGGTCACATTTTACAATTATTCTATTCACACCAATTAAAAAACAGGGCAGCTTCCTTCATTAATGTGCAAAATATGCAAAGAAGGAGGGTTGTCAGTAATTCTTTAGTTTAGTTGTCATTCACTAATTATGGACGAGATAGTAAGCACGCGAAAATTTCCAAGAAAAAGAAAACGAGGAAGAAAGAAGAAAAACGTCAAAAGAATGATCACTCCTGTCAAAAAGATGTTGAAAGAGACGATGCTGGGTTGTACAGAACGGATTTCCTCGTCGAAACCAGTGTCAGCCATGAAGTGGATGAAGAAAGTTTTACCGTGACACTGAGAGTCCGATGAATCAGACTTCGATATAGTGGGTGATACTCCTGTTCAAAACGTTCGAGAATTGTCTGTATCTCGCAGGAAAATATTGTTACCTTCCGACGTAGAACAAGAAAGTGAGAGTGAATGCCCGGCCCCCCCCACTCAGGATCCATAGGGGGCCGCATGCGCGTTCCCATTTTCTCGGGAAAGAGGGTACTTTTTGACGATCTGTCTCGGGAACATTTTTCCGAGAAAATCGTAGAAAAGGGGGTATTTTTTGCTTGTTTTCCCGAGATTCTCAAAATAGGGGGTGTATTTCAAAACACTTCCCGAGATATACAAAAAAGGGGGGTTTAAAAGGAGTTCTAGACTGAAAAGTTCCCTAGATAGGGGGTGAAATTCATCGGAAAAGCCCGTGAAAGGGGGGGGGGTTAAATTTTCTTCTTTTCAAAAAAAATGAGGGAACAAGCATAGGCCCCCCCTAAATATAGAGAGTGGGGGGGCCGGGAGTGAATGTCACGGCCGATCGTTTGAAGACGGCGAGATTCGACTCGTTGACATGTCACTGTTGAATAGAGCCCTAGAAAAAGAGATTTGTCAATTTTGCAAAGTGGACAATATCTCAATAGTGGAGCGCAGGCGTCACGGTCTAGGCAGTCAGTTTGAATTTCTTTGCACGCAAGGAGGTTGTATTCGATCAAAACTGAGCCAGCCTAGCTTCCTGTCATCCCGAAAAAAAGGAGCAGTTTTCGAAATTAATAGAAAAGCTGCCATTGGAATGCGAGCGATTGGAAAGGGACGGCACACTCTGGTGAAACTGTCAAGCTATTAGGGGTTACCTCAACCAGTAACGGGTCCGCCCTTTCGCCAGTATGTACGAGCTGCCTCCAGGAGACTCCAAAACTCGGGGCATGCTTGAACTAATAAGTTTACAAACACAACGGCCCAAAAATAAATACACTGTATTTGCAAACACTTCAACTGCCAAGTGTAGTGTCTGTATTGTTTGTTACTCGCAAACAGAACCGCCCACTTTGCATAATCCAAGCTTTAATGAATGACGTCACCGTTCGTTATCAGCACAGACCGTCACAAAACTCCATAGCGTGAAAGAAAACGGCCAAAAAACAAAGTTTTTCACAGATATAAATGTCGGT